GGACATTTCAGTTGGGATGAAGTGGACAACAGAACAAATGACGCTGCTGAAAACGTGCCACCTGAAGAAGCCACTGTCGAAGAAGAAACTCTACCCAGTTTTGAGAAGGGAAACAATGAAGCTCTTGATGAAGTTACTACCACTGATGTGACTGTTACCGATGATGGGACATTTACTGATGAAGCAGATGAACCCACATGAAGCAGAAGCCAACGAGACGGAGACCAGTACGGAAGAAGATACGTCCCGTAAAATTAAGAGACTTTGTTGAATTGTAATTTTGTGATTGTAATTCTGTACATTTAATTAAGTTATTGTTAATTGATATTGGTTTATTGTATGTGGTTATTGTTCGGGACGAACAATATTAAGGAGGGGGCAGTGTTGCGTCAGCGAGATCACGTGACTAGTGTCACGCCCCCTGCTGTCTGGAAATATCTTGTACCTTCGTGAATTGTCGGGAGATTACTAGATATAGGGTAGTCTGGTATATATAAGAGGGTGACAACGTGACGGGAACAACGTGTGTGTAGGTAATGAGTAATTGAACTGCAGCCAGAGAGAGACGTATTGTTGAAGTTAACGTCGTTATTATAGTTTGTTATAGCGCGACTGTTGCCTTTTTTGTGTATTCTTTAAAAAAGTAATTTATGAATGCAATTATTATTATTACTATATTGCATGTTACATATACCACATATTGATGAATAGATTATGTTTTTTTTTTTGTTTTTTTTACAAAAGGAGTAACTATATATTATCGGATGAAAATAATTAAGAGAAGTAAATTTTGTTCCCTGTTTCATTTAGAAACTAAAATTGGAAGAAAACAATAATTATGCTACTGTGTGGATCTTTTTAGAACCATTAAGGCGATATTATTGGGGAGACCCAGATAGTAGCACAGAAGGTGGAGGGTGGGCGCTATAATAAAAGCAGAAGGTAGAATTTTGTATAATATTATCATAACGTCTTGGTATTTATGCCCAAATATCATATTGGGGCTGGAATGCCAACTTCAAGGACAGATTTACTGTCTCCCAGATTGATGTATAGTACTCAGTATAGTGAGCAACCACCTTCCCACTTCTAGCTGCAAACAGCAAAAGATGGTAAAAACGTGGGACATTGTGGGCTTGAGCACCCACACCTGCTCCATTTTTTTTAATCATGCGAGGCCGGCAAAATAGAGGCTAAACCGGGTAGATGGGGTACCCTCAACGGAGTACCTCAAAAAACCAGGGCACATTACATAACGTCCCACCTTAGGGTTTGTGTCCCGATATTGGATGTTTGGTTTTATTTATTTATTTTTATCTCTACAAAATTAAATTTAATTATATTTCATCAAAAGTTTGGATATGTTGTGTAAAAACACGTTATTATTCCTATTTGATTTAATCTGTCACGAAGATTTTGTAGCTTGTTTAAATAACTATTCATATTAGTACGTATTAATATTACAGAAAACTATAACAAGATTTGTACACAAATAAAGTTTTAAATTTCTGCTATTATTTATTGTGACTTCCTTTAGTATCATTAAGAATTTTATGTATTTTCTCAAAGTCTCTGTTGTACCTTGATTCCAGAGCCTTTTTTTTAGTCATTTAGCACTTTTGTAAAGCATAGAGTCCAGTAAATTCCAGAAATGTTCTATAGGGTTAAGGCCTGAACCTTGTGGCAGCTATTCCATTCGATGGAGATCTGAGTTTCTTTCTTCCAAATGTGCTTCACATTTCTTGGAAGTGTGTTTGGGGTCATTATCTTTTTTAAATATGAAATTCTGTTCATTCATCTTATTTCTAGAGGATATAGCATGGTAGAATAATATACTGTGATATTTATGCTAAGCTATAATTAATCGATTCTGTGAGGATGGACAAAATCATTCACAGACATTATGCTCCAAACCATCACAAAGGCTTCTGCATACTTAATTGTTAGCTCCTTCTATATCCCCTTATTGTCTCTTCGGTGAACATATATATATATATACCATTTGGAAACAAATGGTTAAAGTTTAGACTTGTCTGTCCAAAGTACCTTGTGTCACTGTTCCAAAGACCAAGATATATACTATTTCGTAAAAGCTAGTCTCTTCGAACCTTAAGGATTTTCTTGCTGTTACTTTTTCCTAAACTTCACACCTTTGCAGTGTTCTTCAAACTGTACTTCTTAAAACTTTATCTGTGCGCCACTTTTTAATATCACCAGCAAGAGTTTTCGCAGTATTCTTGTAAATTTTCAGGGAACTGATTGCCAGATATCTAACGTCTCTTTCAGTGATCCTTTTCTCTCCGTCCTCTGGATTGTCTGATGTTACAGGACTGAGTTTCTTTGGAATTGTCTAATGTTTATTTCACAGTACATGGTGAGCAGCCGAGGTATTTTGAATCATTTCTTAACCTAAAACCAGCATCATGTCGAGATCTGACGCTATCAAAAGATGACGAGTTTCTGTTTTGGCCTTTTATTGGAAATACCACTCTATTTTAGCTGTACTGGATGATGTTCTCGAAAAACAGAATTACCCATTATATACATACCTATACATGCATGAAAAAATCAGATAGTGTAAATCTCAAATTTTTATGACAATCTTGTATGATAATATTGACTTCCTTTGTATATATATTAGTCATTTTGAGCAACTTTCAAAAAAATCTCCTGCACTTAATCAATTGTAGCTGTGTCGATTCTGCCTTAACGTTTTAAATTAATTAAACATAAAGAAATATTAAAGTCACGAACAAAGTTCGTTTGTTTATAGTTAAGACAAAACTACACAATGGGCTACCTGTGTTATGCTCACCATGTATATAGAAACCCTCATTGTAGAGTTATAAGCCGTCAAACTTACCTCTAGGCCACTAAGGAGCTTATGGACAAAAGGAAAAAATATCAATAATTTGATAAATTTGCGCGCTGTATATATATACACACATATTTGCATGCGTGTTTATAAATAGGTATTAATAGATGTTCCTCTTTTATAGGTAAGCATTAATAACACTGAATTATGGACATTATAAACAGATCAATCTCAACACATTACATTTATAAGTTTCTTTTAATGGGTATCTTGGTCCAGAGATTTTGAAATTGTATTTAAACATTAGAAGGAAAATATTAAATGTCTGGAGATGTTTATTTCAAGTGTTAGTTCTTTAGAAAAATGAGACAACGAAGTGTTTAGTTAAGAACACTTTTCTTCACAGACTACCAAAAAATTTAATGATAAAACACTTGTAATTTATTAATAAATAGACCAGTGTACTGCCTACCATAAAATTAATGGTAATTCACCTGGCTATAAGATTCCCTAATACCGGTATGTATAGTATACGGTTAAAATATTGGTAACTGAGCTGCAGGCATTTTACCTTCAACTTTACGATAGTTTTAACAGTATAAAATACGTTCTTGCCCGAACTTACCCCTAACTTCATCTGCCTTCAGGACAATCCTGTCTGAGACAACAGGGTGAAATGCAAGTATCCGAGTTAAAATTATTATTTGTAGTGCAACCAACATCGTGAAACTCTAGTTTAAGTTCAACTGAAACAAAATATTTATAGTTTTGCTGCTTTTAAGACCTACACTGTTTCTGGTCTTTAGCCAAATCATACCGCACCTAAGTGTTGGTGAATTAGCTTGTCTATAGGCCTTTCACCTAGTTATATACTGAAAGTAGGATGAAGAGTAAGGAAAAGTCAAGCGAGTCTTCCTACAGATTTGGACTTTTTTTTGGACGCACGTTCCATTTACACTGACAGGGCACCGAAGTAGGACACTGTGCTGTATTTATTTGTTGAGAACAGAGAAGAATATAAAATAGTTGTAGTTGTCCTTGACAGTCAGGTCACATTACTTCAAATATTAAAAGCATAATTCATTTATTGTGTCCAATTCTTTTAAATTCCAACATGAAAAGAAAATCCTTCGTCCATGACCTACTAAACTGTGATAAGTTTATTTATGATTTATAAGCATAGCTACTCGATCCGCGAAACAACTATGGCTGTCTCTCTTCGTCTCTGATTTTTAACTTCTAACCAGAGGGAAAGTAGCCAACAACACCCTATCACCTATCATCGACGCTAAGAGATTAACTGTCACTCTTATAAAACACCCACAGCTTTAAAGTGCTGGAAATATTTTATGGTATAGCACGGATTCGAACCCAAATCACAACCTTCAAAATTTAGAGATCTACCACATTTCCGATCAGCGCTCGTTTCATGAAAAAATAATTCGTAAAAATATTCAAATGTTCAAATGAAATATTAGAAAGTTTACCTCTTTGTAAGTTTGTTCTTAAAAAATTATCAACCTAATGCTTATTTACATGTGTATCACTTATTTTTATAAAGTTAAAAATATTAGAAATATATTGACTAAATTGTATGAAACACAAACGAGGCACGTTCAGCACGCCTATTTTCCATGTTTTTTTCAGCAGGATAGCGAATTGAAACAAACAAATACTTTCATTGTCTGTTTGCTGATTGTTAAGCATTAAGCTAAACAATGGGCTATATTGGGCTTTACATGCTGCGGATATCGAAACCCTATTTTTTTACCGTGATTAACCCTTAAACTTACTACTGAGCCACCGAGGAGCAATACTTCCAGAAAACATTACTTGGAGCAACAACATTTTTTCTTTGTTGATTGTAGCACAGGTCGTTACTTTGACTTTCTATACAAGAATTTATTTAAGTGTTTTATTTGAATTTTATTAAAGTTTATTATTATGATTTTCGGCTCCGTTACTGCAAAAAAGTGCTCCGCACATTGGGGCCTTTGGAGCGCTTTAAGAGTGACAGTCAAATCCCATTATTCGATCAAACAAACGTAGTCCAAAAGTTGGTGATGGTTGCTGTTGACTAGCTTCCCTCCCTAAAGTCTATAAAATTAAAGACTAGCCCTCGAGTACCTCAAGTCTGCCCCTACAAAATTAGAGACTAGCCCTCGAGCAGCTCAAGCCTACCATTACAAAATTAGAGACTAGCCCTCGAGTACCTCAAGTCTACCAATACAAAATTAGAGACTAGCCCTCGAGCAGCTCAAGTCTACCACTACAAAATTAGAGACTAGCCCTCGAGTAGCTCAAGTCTACCACTACAAAATTAGAAACTAGCCTTCGAGTACCTCAAGTCTACCACTACAAAATTAGAGACTAGCCCTCGAGTAGCTCAAGTATACCACTATAAAATTAGAGACTAGCCCTCGAGTAGCTCAAGTCTACCACTACAGACGGTTAGCGC